AAGAGCGTGTAGTTGACTTAGAACTTAAATTTCAAGTTCCCATGTTAACCTAAGGATTTTTGGACAATGAACTAAGGACTCGGTGATTGGTTTATTCAATACAATTTTTCAATCTTTAGAAATTAACAAGTCTGGTGTTAAGAATGTCTTTGTTATGAGATTCTCAGTCATTATCTTGATGTCCCCTCATGCGACTAATCTGGAATTTTGCGTAATACAAAATAAGATTTAGGAGTTGGGAGTCACTTAAGAGAAAAACTAAATAAATCAAGACTGTTGAACAAAGTTGGAGATTCACATTGTTCAACCCGGATGTAGTAATCACAAGACAAGAATTTCGTTTTAAACACTTGTGTGCTTAACAGTATGAATAATACTATTTAGTGCAACTGGTATTACAACTCTAGTTTAGATAATATTATATGATAAAATTAAACAAAGGTAGAATGATGTGCGTGTCCGCTAAACCTGTTTTATAACACCATTAATGCTAAATTGTATAGTTATGCAACATGTAGTAATCAAGAAAAGATCCTTGTCCTAAAATTAAAGATTGTTATTTTTTCTTAACATCTCTTGGAACTAAATTTCCAACATTATGGTGGTGTAAAAAATTGTTTTCAAGGATAGTTTAGGGAACTACAAATTCAAGATAAGAGATATTGGCTCATCGGAGCTAAACTCGGTGAATTCTCGAGAAAGTACGAAGTTTTAAAGCATGTTTAGTCCATCTTCGGTTTGGCTAAAAATAAAATTTTGATAATGTAAATAATGAGAAATGATCTAATAGTGTGCCATGTCACTAATAATTAATATAAGTTAAGCACCAATATTCATTAAATTATTTCTCCGTAAATAACATCAACAAAAGATTATGGACAACTTATATTAACATAATTATAATTGTATTTACCAAATTCGCAGTTACCATAGATAGATTAACCCTAACCCTAACTGTATGTATAACCTTTTCTATATAATGCAAGTAACGAAACGGGAAAACTATTCAGCCAATTACCATCAGATAAAAATTGATCCAAAATTATTATTTTTTAATAAATTGTGTGATTAGAATAATAAATGTAAAAAAATGTGTGATTAGAATAAATGTAAAAAAATAAATAAATTTTGAAAAATGGGATGAAAATAGGTGCTTAATAAGTGAATTAAACAAGACAATATTAACATTAAAATTTTAGCCCTTCTTTGATCCTCGTTTTGGGGGGAAATAATATATTTTGAATAGTAGATTGATGGAGAATGTGTGGTTAAAAATAAAGAATTTTTTTTAATTTGAGTGTAATATTATTTTATTGAAAATTGTGTGATTAAAAGTGAGTTTGAAAAAAATGAATTTTTAAAAGAATGGAAATCAAACAAGGGTTAAACCCCCCGTTTGAGCTCCATTTTTTTCTTATTCTTTCCCATTATTTTTTCTACAGTATTCATTTTTAACAGCACATTTTTATTAAAATAATTTTACAAGCAAATAAAAAAAAAATTCTTTTTATTTTAATCATACATTTTCCATCAATTTACTATTTCATAAAAGATTATAAAAAATTAATGGGCTTGAAACAGGGCCTAAAGGTTTTTCCCGTTCAACCCTCGAGATGGAAGAGGTATTGGCTCATCTGACTCTACTCCCTCAAGTGGGGTCTCAGCATCGGGAACCTATACTAAGATCCCGTTTGATACACATTAATTTAAAAATAAGAATAAAAAATATAGTCGTCACAAATTCCACACAAGAGATAAAAATTTAAATTTGATAACTTAATGTGATAAATAACGATTATATTTTTTATTTTAACTAAGAAGAAATAGAAAACAAATAGGGTCTAATTGAACCACAACCATGCGCATCAAAATAAGATATTTGTAATTGAGTGTGTCAGATTTAGCGAAATGATCTTATCCCAAAACTTATTGCAAGGGGGATAACTGCCAGAATTCACATGGGTGCTGCGTTGGCAGCACTCGAGCGATTGTCTTCTTTTCTATTTTTTCGATCAATTCTTAATGATGTAATGTCCCATCCCTGTAAAATCTCTGACAGTGTTATCCCTATGCGCCAAGCAAGATTAAAAAAAAAAAAAAAAAAAAAAAAAAGTTGAATCCCAATTTTAAAGGCCCTCCACGGCCACTGTTCTGGAGTATCGTGAAGAAGGTAAATCGCAGATTATGCCTCCAAAGGTACAGGGTGAAAGGCTGCTTGTACACTTGCACTTACCCAAGAGCCAAATTCATATTTCAGAATTCGAACCCTTATACGTCGAAGGAAGCATGACATGAACCTAATCCCGTGAAACAAACAGCAACTAGGTCCCAAGCTTTTATTGTTGCTTTGCAGTTATGACCTAATTCTTTGTTTCCCAAATGAATACCAAATCCCAATAAATATCCATGCTTTCCCACTGCTTTTGTAAAGGGAAGAATTCTGGCTCCCTCTGCAGTAATGGAAACTGTTTAAAGGCTTTCACATTAGCTACAAAAATATTCAACGTAAGTATAGAAAATGAAATTCACACTTGTCAATTATTCTGTTCAATATTATTTAGCCCCAGTTTGATGACTTTCATAAAAAGAAATTAGAGAAAAATGATATTTTGAATATTGATTTTTTGAAGAATGTATAATTAAAAAATTAAAAAAACAATTTTATTTATGCGTAAAATATTTTATAATATGAATGTCTGGTTAAAAATAAGTATGAGAAATAAAAAATTTGTTTAAAGAGAGTCAAACAGGGTTTAATTAAACGAATTAAACTCCCTGTACATGTGAAATATACAAAAAGTATTACAGATGTACATGTAGCAACACTGCATTGATAGGTTGAACTGTAATTTTTCTTTAATATCCAATTAAATCTTGATAGCTAGTAATCTATCAAAAAATTGTCAACTAGCTCCCTGTACACGTAGCAAGATTGTAATTAAACGTATTAAACATGTTTTGAAAGATTAATTGACGGTGTGCGGTGTGCCCAACCCAAACAATTTGTAAACGCACAGGCGTTCATTTTGGGTCGGTAGCAAAAGGTCGAAAGATTTACAAATTAATAATTTAATATTTTAAAGTAAAAGATCTCCAAATCTATGAAAACCAAACAAAAATCCTTAAATTAATGCACGATTGATGGGCCGGGCCCATCGTTGGTTACTAGGCCAAAATTTGGGACCCACAACAATGTAATGGTAACAAGCTAGTAAAGACTTCAATTGCCTCTATATAAATATTTGTGGGCGATCTCATTTTTCTTATCCGTCCATTCTTGTGCTGTCTGGAAGAGAGAAAAATGGCAAGAGCTGCTCTTACGTTGTCACTAATTTTCGTCTCAGTTTTTTTCATTCCGACCAAGATTGAGTCGACTACAGTGGCAGCCACCAATCCCGCCACGAATTTCATTAAAGCCTCGTGCAGAGCTACCACGTATCCCGTTGTTTGTGTCCAATCATTATCGGTATATGCTCCAACCATTCAACGAAGCCCGCGTCAATTGGTACAAACGGCCTTATCCGTAAGCCTCGAACGGGCTCAATCTACTCAGACATTCGTAGTACGACTCACTAAATTCCAAGGACTTAAACCTAAAGAGCGTGCCGCCATCAAAGACTGCCTCGAGGAGATGAGCGATAATGTCGACCGCCTAAGCAAGTCGATCAAGGAGCTGAAGAGCATGGGCCAGGCCCGTGGGAAGGAGTTCATATGGCACATGAGTAACGTGGAGACATGGGTTAGCGCTGCCCTAACTGATGACAGCACTTGCATTGATGGGTTTTCCGGCGGGGCCTTAAATGGTAGGATTAAGTCCTCAATTAGGGCCCGAATGACCAATCTAGCTCAGGTCACTAGCAATGCACTAGCACTTTGCAATCATTTTGGTGAAAAAAATTGATGTGTATTATATAAAAATAGCAGAGTTTTTGGCAGCATCCCTAATTTAAACACTTCTTTGATGAACTTTATGCACTTCTTTAATTAGCCAGTTTTCGTGCCATGTATGGAGAATTAAGCACTAATTTACCTTTGTCCGCACTTTTGCGAGCTTCAACACTTGTAATTTAGGGCTCAATGGCCAGACGTGCTTGATGAGAAACCCAAAAAATGGCAAGAGCCAATTTTACATTGTTCCACGCGTTCTTCTCCCCTTCATACATTCCGACCAAGATAATGACAACCAACTCATAAAAAGGGTTCGGCAATTGCTGCATAATTATTGTATGATATATCAATTTACGACTATACATCACTTCATAAGATAAAATAATAATAATAATAAAACCTTTTAATGTTGTCATACCTCTCACTTTTACTATTTTCGTTGCAAGCGCACCACACAGTCATTACTTGAAAGGCCTTCTATGATATTTTTGTCAACTAAGCAATTTGCTTCGGCTGTATAATAGATAGGCGACAGAGTGATGAAATTAGACATCAAATTGAATAGCACACCGATCCAATTGAGATATATTAGTTTAATGACTTAATGGAGATTTTTCTAAAAGTACCGAGGACGGAATTTACCCTTTAACATTTGATACATTGAATGTATAGGACATGATTATAAAAGAATGTGACATAATTCATCAATAGTTTTATCCAAACCGGCTTATAAGAGTGATAGATAGTATAATATGGCAACTCGTTTTGAACTAATGAACCGACTTTTGTAACTTGTTTTAAGCTTATTTTGTTAATTTATTTTAAAAAATAATGAACCGTCTTGTGGCCGTAACGTGGTTCATAAGGTCCACAAATCGAAGAATCGTCCCAAATCAAACTAAGCCTGAGATATTAAGGATTAAGTTGACCGGGCTTTAATGGATTGATCCCTACTGATTTTTCAATTGGTCATAACACGGTGAGATGTCATGAGTTGGCCAAGTGGAAAAAGGATAAAGCTGTTTGCAGGGATGAACGGCCTGGCGGGTGCAGCAACCCCCACTAAATTTTCAGATACCTTCAACTGGACTCTTTAAAATTAAATTTTCAGATTTTTTTTTTTTTTTTTTTTGTTTCTTTCACAATTTATTTTAGTTTAGTTTCTATCTCGCCCTTATTAAATCATAATCTTGGATCCGCCTCTAACTGTTTGAACATGGCCATGTAGGCCCTATTCCACTCATACGGTTTGTGGGAAAAAAAAAAAAAAGCATGTCGTGTGAAGTGTGTTTTTGTCAAAGGTCAAATACAGGCAACACCAAAAGTCCAAGGTACGGCAAATGACTTATAAATTTCAACCAAACAGAAAATTCGGTGCATTAATTCACACATAAGAATAGTTTTATAATTTTATGTTTAATATAATTGTTAGAAAAATGAGAGTGGTTGAATTTTGGGAGCATTGAAAGGTTAGGATGATCACATGGGCTTGGTTGACAAAAAATGAGGGCGACAAGAATATGAAGGGATTTGGGCCCACCACTAATTATTCTACTTAGCACCGATGGTGATAAAGTACTAATTTACGTAACTACATTCCATAAGTTCAAATAAATGAATCATATGATTTTACATTTATATGAATTTATTATTTAATGTCAAGTATTTGTCAGCTAGACCGATACTTAACAATTGTAATGATGAATAAATAGCATTATTCTTTCCAATAATGTGAATACGATCTTGAGTTGTTTTGGAACAAAATCATTCATGAATGAAACAAAATTAATAGCCACGTAGGTGTTTGAAAATTAATGCAAAAGATAAGGAGAAATGAAAAAACAACAAAGGGAAGAATATAGAATAAACAACGAAGGTTTGAACACGAAATTAATCTCGCTATTCTCAAACGTTATTTGCCTCATTTCCAAATGCTTTTAAGGATTTTCGACAAATCGTTCATAGGATTAAACAAGCCTTGATGTGAAGAACACCATAAACAAAGATGTAGCTTCACAATGAACAAGTGGAAATTTGGAATGATTATGTGATAATTTCCTCAATATTTGGAAAAATAATTTGGGAAAAAATTTCAATGGAATTCAATATATTTTTCTTATACTTGGATTACCTATTTATGGGCTTTGACAAGTTTTTCACGAAATGATGCAAAATAAGGATGAAAAGTCACCAATTTCAAATAAAAAATGGTCAAAAACGGCTCACAACGGCCACAAACATCAACCATGCGACCGCATAGGCTATAGCCATGCGGTCACATGGTTATAGCATAGACCCCTCTCAAATTCTCGGGAGGCCCTTATGCGATCACATGGGCTTAATCCATGCGGTCACATAGTTAAGCCCTTTTTTTCGATTTTGAATAACAAATAAATTTCCAACAATCTCCCATTTGTTCAAAATCTATTTTGATTACATAACAAATATCAACACTTATGTATAAAAATTAGATATCTTTCAGTTTGAATATATTCATAGTGTAAATTTCATAAAGTATTATCAGAATTCCAAGTGGCTAGTGTGCCTTGAACCATTTATTCTTTGTGACAATACCGATGAAATCACACAAACAAAGGTTAAGTTTTTCACTAGTTCTTCTAACTTGTTTAGTGCTAATATGGCCTTGCACTAATCTTATTTCATTGAATTTTTAAAGAGAGAAACTCCAACTCTCTAATGAGGCGGCACTACCTCGAAGTTCACATAAGTGAAGTTCTTTAATTATCTTTGTTACTTTTACAGATACTTGTATTCCGTACTGAACTTCATTAAGAGTTTATTTTAACTCATCCCTCTAACAGTAACAACCAACACTATTTTTCAAAGATAGTGTTAGATATATTTAATAGTGTTGAATCCATTCACTTATCGAATAACTTGTTGTTACCTCTTGAACCTATATATATACTAGGTTAGCATATTTTGGTGAGGTTGCAGTTATTGGTGGATCTATTTGAGGAGTTTTAATCACATTTTACTTGATGTTGTTCTCACTAACTCTTTTGTGAGAGGTTTTGTAAATGGATCGACTAAGTTCTCGTTAGACTTAACAAATGTAAGAGAAATTACTCCATGGTTGATTAATTTCCTTATATACTCGTGTCTTAGACTTATGTGTCTAGACTTTTCATTGTATACTTTGTTATATGCTCGAGCTAGAGTGGCTTGACTGTCACACAAGATAGATATAGAAGAAATATCCTTTATATCTAAAGATATTTCATATAATAAATCTCTTAGCCACTTAGCTTCTTTCCCGGTTTCGGCCAATGCTACAAACTCCGATTCCATAGTTAAATGAGTAATACAAGTTTATTTGTTAGACTTCCAAAAAATTGCACCACCTCCAAGAGTGAATATCCAACTTGAAGTAGATTTATTCTCTTCCGCACTCGATATCCAACTTGCGTCGATATATCCTTCCAAGATTTTAGGAAATTTTGTATATTGTAGCCCAAGATTTTTAGTTTTCTTTAGATAACCAAGAATCCTACCGATGACCTTCCAATGTTCTGAACTTGGATTGCTAGTAAACCTACTTAGTTTACTTACAGCAAATGCTACATCAGGTCTTGTACATTGTGATGCCTACATAAGACTTTCAATTGCACTTGCGTATTCTATTTGTGCAATTGCTCTACCTTTATTTTTTATCAATTTAATATTCGGATCAATAGGAGTGTTAGCCTCCTTAATATTCAAATGTTTGAATTTCTTTATCACAGTATCAACATAGTGTCATTGGTTTAATGTAAAACCCCCCACTATCATTTTTAACTTTAATACCAATGATAGTATCAACTTCTCCAAAATCCTTCATTTTGAAAGTAGAGGATAGAAACAATTTGCTTTCTTTGATCCTTTCTATATTATTGCTAATGATTTACATATCATCAATGTATAAACATACTAACATGAATATATTATCATTCACTTTCGTATAGAGGCATTTATTTATCGGATTGTGCTTAAATCCATTTGACATTATTTTAGAGTCAAATTTCTCATGCCACTTTTTGGGAACTTGCTTTAGTCCATATAAGGATTTAATTAATTTGCACATCTTATGTTCATTTTTCAGTAGAACGAACTCTTTTGGTTGTTCCATATAGACCTCTTCTTCGAGATCTCCATTTAGGAACGTCGTCTTGAAGTCCATTTGATGAACATGTAGATCATAAATGCTAACACAAATAAGATCCTGATCGAAGTTATCCTAGTTATGGGTGCATATGTGTCAAAGTAATCAATTTCTTCTCTTTGACGATACTCTTTAACCACTAATCTAGCCTTATAGGTGTTAAGTGATCCATCGAAATTGTATTTCTTCCTAAACACCCACTTGCAACCAATAGCCTTAGATCCTGCTGGCAAGTCAACTATTTCCCAAGTGTTATTCGAAATGATAGAATCCATATCGTTATTTATAGTTTCTTTCTAGAACATGCAATCTCTATATTGCACCGCTTCCTTATAAGTCTTAGGATCATTTTTTACTTGAAGAACAAAGGAAATTGTTCTTACAATATCATTTCTATCTCCTTCTACTAAGTAAAAATAAATAAGTTGGGGATTTATTTTATCTGGTCCCAAGTTCTTTTCTTTTCTAATTGTTTTACTTCTTCGAGGTTCAACTTCTACATCTTTTATGGATGTCTCTTCTAGTGAACTTCTAAAGATTGAAATATCCTTATTATTATTTTCAGATTTCCTAGCCACCATTATATCCTTGAAGAATTCCACATCTCTTGATTCTATTATAACATATGTTTCTAGATTTAATAATCTATAGGCTTTACTGTTGAGAGCATATCCCACAAAAATACATTTGATACCTTTCGGACCTAACTTGGTTCTCTTAAGATCCATATTCTTACAATAGGCAATGCACCCCCACACTTTAAAATAACTAATATTTGGTTTTCTATTTTTCAAAATTTCATATGGAGAAATTTTATTTTGTTCACAAAACAAGTTAAATTCGTTAGAAAAATATTCTCCACCTCTATCACTGCTTAAAGTCTTTAATTTTCTTCCTAATTGATTTTCAATTTCAATCTTATAAGTCTTAAAGGTACTAAAGACTTCATCCTTATATTTTAATAAGTACACATAGATATATCTAGAACAATCATCAATAAAAGTAAT